TATATATATATGTCTCTTCTTTTTTTTTTCATTTGCGTTTATTATTATTATTATTACTACTACTAGTATTATTAATTATTAATTATTATTATTATTATTATTAGTTTTAGTGTATTTCCATGTTGCACTTCCGTGCAGTTAATGCCTCATTGTACGGCGATGATGATAATATTAATATTGATAATAATGATAATAATATTAATAACTATACAGTGCCCCTCACAACTCCACCCGCATGGCGTCCATTCATTCAACTCACAAAAGAAAAGAATCCAACAAAAACAACAGATGAGATATCAACATCAATCTCAACAACAACAGCAGTATATGAGAGGATTGTGGGAGTGGAGTTTTTGGGCTCCACGTACACTTCACTGCCCCTACACGAAACGGTATTCATGACTGGGAAGTCTACTAATAATAATAATAATAATAATAATAATAATAATAATAATAATAATAATAATGGCAGAACGACGACAACAACAATAATAAGAGAAGAAAAAAAAGAGAAAGTAGACGATGGAGAAGATTGGACATTGGTGTATTTCTTTACACTTCTCATTGCCTCTTGTAATGGGAAAGATACATCTATTGAGGCGGTGCGGTGTGTATTTCGGGATATAGATAGTGAATATCCATCGACTGAGTCTATACACACATCTACACAAGCAGAGAAGAAAGAAAAAAAAGAAGAAGAAAAAGAAAAGAAGAATCCACTATCCCATTCTCAACAAAAACAACAATCTTCTTCTTTTTCTTTTTCTTCTTCACCAGATAACAATTTCTCTATTGAGGGAATGTTAGATCGTGAACCGGATCTCTTATTACAACAATTATGGAAAAGATTAGGGGATATGAATATAAAGGATATCTCTCCTTTAAAGGCTACTGGATTACATACACAATCATCCTTATCCCAATCTATATCTACATCTATACAAAGAATAGAAACTTTTGCTATTCTCGATCGTACCCCATTATTTTTACATACAGGGATATTAGATATTGTTCAGGCAAGTGTAACGACAACATTTATGGAAGATACAATAATGATGACTAAATCTCTTCTTTCGACTACAGTATATACACAACCCAAAGAAGAGGAAAGTTCTTCTTTTTCTATGAGAAGAAGTGATCCGGATGTGTTTCTCTCCTTTACCGAACGGCTGGATATTCAAACAGCCACTGCAGCAATGCCGGATTCACATAAAAGAGAAAGACGTTCTTTTGCAAGTCTTCGTCGATTTATAAATCGTTTACAAAAAAAACAACAACGTGAAAAGTCTTTGCAGAATACAATAAACTCAACCATATCCACACTAGGAGGAGAAGGAGAAAACGAAAAAGAAAGAGAAAGAGAAGAAGGAAGAAAAGGAAATAAATATGTACATACAGCTTGTATAGATGCCTCTATGAGGATAACACCTTATCGTTATTTTGTTTGGCTGCATGTTGTGGGAACAGATATCTTTCATGAGGCTACGGTTACTACAAAGATTCACATTCCACGATCTACAGATAAACGAAATTTATCAACAACAACAACTAATTCTACTACTACTAATCCTCTTAATAATAATAATAATAATAATAATAATAATAATAATAATAATAATAATAATAATAATAATAGTAACAACAGTATCTTTACAAAGATTCACATTCCACGATCTACAGATAAACGAAATTTATCAACAACAACAACTAATTCTACTACTACTAATCCTCTTAATAATAATAATAATAATAATAATAATAATAATAATAATAATAATAATAATAATAATAATAATAGTAACAGTATCTTTACAGCTGGGAATCCTACGCATTTAGCCTCAACAACATCAAGTTTAAAATCGGCGGAATCTACTTTAAGAAGTGAGACCATAACATCATCCTCATCATTATCATCATGGTTTACAAAAAAACGAACTATTATCCCAACAACAACAACAACAACAACGATATCTTCTTCTTCACCAAGAGGAGGAATAACAACAGCAACAACAACAACAACAATAACAACAACAACAGAGGATGAAGAGTATAAAGAGGATCCAAGTACTATTGTTACTCCACTGCAAGGACCAGAAGGGGAAACACAATACAATACATCTATGAGTGAGGCTTTACATGTTAACAAGGAAAAACATATACCCATCACTATACGAATACCCGCTAATGCGTTTTGTCAAATGGGATATTTCTTACGGCGTAAATATATAAATACAGAGAAGGAACGTAAAGGAACCGTTAATACCACTTCGTATTGGATATCTGCATGTGATTATGCCCAACAAGGACTTCAGGTAAAGGAAGTCTCCTATGTGAGAAACACTAATAATAATAATAATAATAATAATAATAATAATAGTAATAGTGGTAGTGGTAGTGTATCCTTTGATGGGAAGAAAACGCGATTGGCAAAAACAAAACGTAAAGCCGGTCACTATCTATATCGTCAAGAACAAGAAGAAGAAAAAGGAAAAGAAGAAAAATGTAAAGGGAAACATTTACCTTTATTTCCATTTGGAAAAGTAGAAGTACGATCCGCCGCACAATGGAGTTTAGCACAATATCAACAATGGCATCATTGGGATCCCGTCACTCAACGTCTCTCCTTCTGGGCTGCATTTCCAACATATGATAAGATGCGAATTGTGGCTTTTAACGGTCATCCAGATCAGCGTCGATGTGAGTTTGAACGTAATCTTCCACGTAAACGTCGTATCTTTCCTTCTCTTTATCATCAAGGTGTGGAAGTGCAAACAAGAACACATTCTGTTTCTCCTCTCGCGATGGATGCACTTTCAGTAGAGAGAGGCTTTGGTATGGATAGTATTAATAGTAATAGTAATAATAATACTAATTCTACTACTAATACTATTAATACTACTAATACTATTAATAATATTAATACTATGAATAGTAACAGTAATGATGGCAATAGTACATTTACGCATGATGGTTGTTGTTGTTGTGGGACTCCATTGTGTGAACCGTGGGGAGCCGCCTGCAGTTCTGCGATTTCACGACTACACATGAATCTCATTCCTATTCAATATGAAGATGGAGTGCAGGATTCTATTTTATGTGAACAGTTTTTCCTTTCTCAACCCGCCTTTATCACAACAAATACAACTAATACTAATAATAATAATAATAATAATAATACTACTAAACCCATTACGCAAGTGTGTGAGTTTGGATTGGAGGGGATTGGACAGAGTAGTAGTGATGAAAAGAATGAACATCATATTCACAAACAAAAAGAAGAGGAGGAAGAAGAGGAAAAAGAAGAAGAGGAAAAAGAATCTGAATTGATAACTGGGAATGATAATAATAACTCCAATAAAAGAAGTGGACAAGTGTTATTTAAACTCCCAGATGCCTTAAAGACACATCCTCCTCCTCCTCCTTCTTCTTCTTCAATGATGATGATAATGGGACCTCCTGCTATTCTTTGCAGTATTACGGCTCTTCGTAATTACGTGGATGCTCTTCAAATCACAATACCACTTACAAAAGAGGAACGTCAATACATTACATATGACTCACGGGTGTGTTTTCTCTCAATGAATGGAATGATTGCAATTTATTTACCGGGTGTTTGTATTCATTATATAGATATCCATCATAAGGATTCACCACCACGTTATTTATTTGGTGTACGTCTCTTTCATCCCGCATCTACATTATTATCAACAACAACAACAATGAAAAGATCTCTCATGGGAAAAAGAATACAAACTACGAATACTAATATTACTAATACTAATATTACTATTACTACTACACCATTGGTATCTCTTCTTCCTATACCATTGGGTCATTGGTTGTATATACCAGGAACAGTTATGTTGTTTGAGGCCTCTCTTAACTCTATCTCTATATGGAGATTTGTGCAGCGATGGTTAACACGACGACGATCTTGCCGTATACAAGCCTCTGGTATTCCTTCTTCTTCTTCTTTGGCAACGATGCTGAATGGAATGAATACAATGAATAACACACAAACTATTTCTTCAGAAGAATCCTTTCCATTACGTGAGACATCCCCACATCCACATTTCACATCTACAGAGGCGGAAGACTATCATGAGAGTTCTTCTATACATCCAACGGTGTTAGCGGCTGTATTGGATCCCACTCCACTTCATCATGCCTTGCATGTGGCTCTTACACATTTACAACCATTAAGAAGAAAAGGAGGAAGAGAAGAAGGAAGAGAACTATGTGATGATGGTAGTGATCCTAATAGGGAAATGAAAAAGCTAAAGAATGATTTACAAGGAAATGAATCTATTTCATCATGTTCATCCTTTTATTGGAAGTGGGAAAATATATGGGCAATGCGGGATAAACAATTAGAAAAGATGTTTCGTCAATTTATTACCGTAGGGGATATATGGGAAGATATTTCTATAGAGTTTATTTCAACCGTTATTATTAGTGAGGCTTATGCACGTACACGAGCCGCATGTTCTTGGCGACCTCCACAGAAATGTAAAGATACAGTCACTACTACTACTACTAGTAATAATAATAATAATAATAATAATAATAATAATAATAATAATAATAATAATAATGACAGTAAACACACCTCTATGAATACCACTAAGAGTAGTAGTCATTCTACCTGTGTAGATGATATCATGTCATGTAATCCTTATTATGTGTGTTTACCAATGTGGAATATAGATGGAATGGCAGCAGAGGAATCTCATTATCGTCGGGAAGTAACAAGTTTCTACCGCTCTTGGCGTCAATATCAACAACAACAACAACGAGAATATCAACAACAACAATCTAAATGGGAAGAGAATGAAGGATTGGCATCTACAACGACAATGTATTTACAAAGAAACTCATCCGTTAGTAATAGTAATCATCATCATCATCGTCATCGTCGTTGTGGTCTTAACAGTACATTTCCACCCACACGTTCCAAGTCTCCCATGATTGATATTACTTCTCTACAAACAACAACAACAAAAACAAAAACAAAAACAACAACAACTGCAGATATTTCTCTACCAGGATCAGAGTCAAACTTTATGTTCACACGTCATTCAGAATTACCAAAAAACAACACAACCATTATATTAGAAGATCGAGCCACTTCTGTATGTCTACGACCCTCATTATCATCATCATCAGAACAATATCAACAACAACAACGATCTACTACACATCAAAGACGACAAAGTGAAAGTGAACGAAAATCCACTCTTCTCTCTGCACTTCTTATACATACAGTGAGTTTACGAGATGGGAGTTGGTCTAAACAACAGTGCCATAATACTGTGCCGGAGTGGTGGCTTTCTCGCCGTGTTTCCCCGTGTCCACTTCCACCGCAATTCTTACCACCGCCGCACACACAATTATTATTTACATCTAGACATGCAATAGATGCAGTAACCGCAGCAGCAACAACAGGGATAATATCATCATCATCATTATCTTCATTATCTTCATCATCTTCTTCAGGGAGTAAAAAAGGGATATCATTATTTAGTCGTTTAAAGGCTATGTTTTCCAATACCAGTACGAATACAAATATTATGAGTTATGGTAAGAGTAAATGTAATGTAAATAGTAAGAGTGGGGCGGCAAGTTCATTGTTTTTATCTTCTTCCTCTTCATCTTTATCTTCTACAGTATCATCAATGACACCGGTGTCGCGTATGTCACTTCCAATAATGGAAATCACTTCAACTTCAAATGAGGATTGGATGGCTAACAATATAATGGATATTCAAGATAATTATACTACTACTACTACTACTACTACTACTAATAATAATAATAACAATAATAATAGTGCCGTAAATAACGGTATGTTCGTTAACAGTTCAAGAATAAATAGTACTACAATGTCTAATAAGAATATGACCTCTACTTTTGTTGCTGGAGATATAAACCATCCCTTTGAGGAAGAAGAAGAAGAAGAGAAAAAGAAAAAGAAGAAGAGCAATATCAACAGTCGTCATTTCTCATCTAAAGATTCATCATTACCAGAAACTACACCTGTGTTATTATATAATGGTTTATCCTGTGGAACTGCCTTTGCAGAAGCGGTTCTACACAAATTACAGTCTACCGCATGTCCATCATCTTCATCTACTAATACTAATACTACTACTAATACTTCTCTGCGTTTCCCACCGACTGGATCTCCAGAACGAGAGAATAAACATCTACACAAAATGTCTAATGTTGGTGGTTCTCCTTATGCAGATTCATGGATTACATCATCACATGCCTTAACGACATCCTCTACATATTCATTTGCCTCATGGGCAGTGGCGTATGCAATCTCTTCTACAGGCATTACGGCACGATTGGCACCATTAGCCCTTTTGTATGATGCCGCTATCGCCTCCGTAATCCACACACTTGTTCATATTATTAGGAATGATTCTTCTTTTCCTGTGGAATCGGCAACGGATGATATTGCCTCTCTTCTTCCTTCTCATGAGAAGAAGAAGAAGGAGGAGGAGAAAACTTCAGAGTTTCAACCGAACTTATCAGAGAAAGAAGAAAAAGAAAAAGAAGAAGGAGAGAAATCAACATCTATACCTACAACAAGAGTGAATAAAGTATGGGATTCACCATCCCCAGCACGATGGAGTTTACTGCAGAAACTCTCACTCGCATTAGAGCGTCTTGGTATTCCACCCTCCTCTGAACTCTTACGGAGTGTGGCCTGTGAAAGTGTTCAATCACTGCCAACACGTCTACTGGCCGCTGGAATGCAGTGTGGGGCCATTAACGGAGCTGATCTCTTATTACTTCTCCAACAACATTCAACACTGGCAACACATATATATACAAACATTGAACCCTTTATACCTCTACAGCAACAGCAACAGCAACAACAGCAAAAAGAGTATATAGAGAGATTAAGGATTTCTGCGGCAGAGAGAGTGTATGATATAATGAGTCCAATGGGAGAGCAAAGGATGATAGATACTACTAGAGAATTAGTGTCGCCATGGGGTTTCGTCCAATGTAATACTACTAAGCATAATAATAATAATAATAATAATAATAATAATAATCATTATACGCGAAGTGGGTACACGGATGCAAGTTCTCCCATTCTTTCACTTGAAGCGACGAACTATCCAGCATGCCAGGAACGTATGTTGTTATGTGAACTCGTCATGAACGCTTCCTCTTTTTCGCAGAATGAAATCCAAAACGCTATCATTGCCAATACGAATAATACTACTGCTAATACTATTAATAATAGTACTAATAATAATAATAATAATAATAATAATAATAATAATAATAATAATAATAATAATAGTAATGTAGTTGTTTTTGGTTCTCCCTCATTAGTACGGGATACCAAGCGACACATCTTGGCCGCATTGGATCCAGGACCATTCCTACAAACTGGTAATGAGTGGATTATTCCTCTTGATACGGATTTTGCATCTCTCTTTCCACCTTTTCGAATGTGGTGGGAAAAGAAACAAAAGAATAAACAGTTTAATTCAATGTTAACAATAACAACAGGATCAGGATCAGGAGGAGGAGTACTCTCTGGGAGGAGTAGAAGTCAAACCTCTGAAGTCCAACATCAAACCACCTCTACACTATTGGGGGACTTATCTCCCCTGTTAACGATGTTAACACTGAAACCTGAACAAAATGCACCTATTCATTCCCTCTCTTCCTCTTTAACAGAAGTCAAAAAGAAGGAAGATGTGGAAAAGGAGAAGGAGAAGGAGAAGCTACTAGTTAAAGATTCAGAGAATAACTCTGAATTGTCTGGAGTCTTTATACCAAAAGAGTGCCTCACCAGTGATAACGTTAGATGTACACAAGAAGAAGAAGAAAAAGAAAAAGAAGAAAAAGGAGGAGGAACAACAGCTATGATACCATTTGTACCGATCTTACTTGCTACAACATCATTAGGTCATACGGTTGCGAAGGAAAGAGCCAAAGCAGCCATGTCAGTATCGTTGGATCCTTTTTTCATGAATGATTGATATATATATATAATATAATATGGTAGTGCCTTTTTATTCTTATTTGTTTATATGGGGTTTGCTTGCTTTTACTATATTTTTATTTTTATTTTTCTTTTTTCGTCTATTTGCAGAATCTTTTGCGGGTTTGCAGTGATTTGAGAAGTTTTTTTTTNAGTGAAGATGCTGCGGGATGTGGTGGTGGTGTGCGGCCGAATGTCGTACTCGGGCGGTGAGGAGGTGCGGCGGTTGCTGCTCACGCACATGCAGACAACGGGTGGTCCGGCTGAGCGGGAGGTGTGCGCTGAGGCCATTCCCCGTGTGCATCTCCTCTCCCTCACACCACGACACTTCCCGGTGAAGGAGGCTTTGGGAAATGCTGGTGTGTGTGTGGGGAAGTTGATGCTGCAGTTCCTTGTGGACCCAGACTTTGAAAAGAAGGAGAAGAGTGGTGCTGCTTCCGCGGTGGAGAGAAAGATGCGCGCCAAGATGTAGGGGAGGAATAGGAGTGTTGATAATAATATGATGGTAATGAAAATGAGAATGATGGTGGTGGTGGTGGTGGTGGGATCTTCTATTTAATCGTGGTCTTGCCATAACACCGTCTTTTTTTAAAACCAACAAAAAAATTAATTCAAAATGGAACAGAATAATGGTGGTAGAGTAGGTATAAATACGTATTTTTTGTGGATTCATTTATTAATTATTTTTAATATTATAAGAATACCTTCTCACTCTACCACTGCTTCCTGTTGCTACCATTGGGGCTTGTGTTCCCCAAGTGAACGCCACCAGAATAGGTTCATGGTAGTAGCAGTTGGAACGTTAAGGATCTCACAAAAGACGTAGATACATTTATTCTTTAAAATGTTTTCGTTATTTCAATACTTTTCTCAACCTTGGTGTTGTTGCTTCCATCTCTTTCAATAGGTGTGTTTTCTCTTCCCTGGTGTGTGTGTGTGTGTTTGTGTCTTTTCTGGCGTATATCTTTCTTTCTTTCTTGTTCTTTTTTTTCTTGTTTGTTTTATCTTCATTTACGTGGTAGACACGGAGAAAGTGAAAGGAAGCCGAAGGAGTTTGATAAAAAAGGGACGTCCTCTCTCTTTGTCTTTCTTTCTTGTGTAATTTCTACCTCCATATTCACTGCCGGTGCTCTTCCTCTCTGTGTTATGCGTCGATGTTGTTGGCTTCTGCAGAAGAATGAATCTTTTATTTCAACACGGGTATTCTCATCAGACAGGCCACGAAGAACCCCATTTTTCTCCATAATGTCTCGTGTTCGGTTAAATTCACCAGAATCGATAAGACAAACAGGAGGAGGATCAATGGAAACTCAGCCGTTATCATCTGTTGACAAGTTAACATCCAGGAACTGTGGAGGGAAGAACGGGTTTCATGGGGTTTCAAGTACGACGTATAGGAGACGTACATCTTCACCTTATTCTGTTGAGAAATACCGTTTCTCTCGATTACTTCGTTTAAAGTCACGAAGTGATGATGAAATGGATCCTTCGTGTTGTAGTGATGCGGCATCGCAAGAGATGCAGGGACGTGAGGTTGTCTTGACACCATCGACATTACTTCAACGACTCGAAAGTATCTTTCCCCCTGGAAGAAAGGAAGAGGAGAAAAAAAAGCAAACAGGACATTGTGTGAAATGTACTGCTTTTACTGCTTCGGTTACAGGAGAAGATATGCTGAACACAAATATACCTTTCTATGAGCCGAATGCTTTGGCGGATAGACTCCGTCCATGCTGTTATCGAGTTCCTTGGAAATGTGTCCTGCTCTCTCGCGTAGACACAACCATATCCTCAGCGGAGAGAGAGAATACTAGAAGTTGTAGTTGTAATGAGAGTGTCTCGAAGCTTCTCACTACTCCAGCAGTGTATGATGTGTTTGTTCCCATCTCATTTCTTTTTGACCCAGATGCAAGAGAAATAACATCATCATCATCATTATCATCATTAAGAGCAGGAGTAGAAGGAGGAAAAGCAAGAAGATCATATTTCTATAGTGATGCGCCTTCGATAAAGGAGCGAATCAAATGTAAAGACCGTTCCGGTAGGATTGTGAAATCGTCCAGTAAATTGCAGAGAGTTGCTGTGCTCCATCACATTCCTGGACTCCCAGATCCAACTGCGGCATCAATGACTCTGGAAGATTACAGTCAATTTCTACAGTATTGTACACTTCAGAATACATCACAAAAAACAAAGGTGAAAAGAATAACCGAATCAACTAGTGTGATGCATTGTATGGGGACAGACGGAATGAATAATCGTGATATTGGTATTCATAGCGTTCAAAAACGTCTCTCTGAAGAGAAGAAGACTCACCAACAACAAGAACAAGAACATGATGGTGTACATATGATGAATGCTGAGAAGGATGAGAAGACTCTAGACGGTGGAGTTGGTGTGTGGATTATTCACCCATATCGTGAGAGTATCTTCTTTGCTCTGCGCTATACGACGGCATCAGACCACTACGAGTGGCTTTGTTCTCCGCAGTACACTCTTTTTCAGGATAATTGTGCCCAGTCATCAGCAGCAACAGTAGCAACAGCAGCAGCAGCAGGAGAAGAGGTAAACGATAAATCAGGAGGTCTGCACAGCCAAAACAATATAGTATCATCTTTATCATGGGCGATAACACCCCTTCAAAAGGCAATGATATCCATGAAGAAGAAGTCAGAAGTCCTTTCACAAGGAAAGAACAAAAGAGAGGATCAGAAAAAGCATCCAAAAGAGATGAAAACTATATTTCCCACTATTTTATATTATTGCGCTGCGAATGTACCTCTCTCCACGGAAGAGAAGTCGGCTATGATGATGTCCTTGTTAACGAACAGCCTCTTTGATACCACAGAAACCACGCAAACTTCTGGCCGTTCCAAGGGGAAACAACTGAAAAATGGTCAAGAGAAGAAAAAGAAATGTAAAATAAGAAATACCTCCAAGAAGAAACATCATAAAGGCCAGAGCGTTGCTCAGTTAGCAATGGCATGGACACCGTTACCCCGAACATCACGGTTAATGCGTGGGAGGCAGTTAATGACGAACCCAGATGCACTTGCAGAGACACTGAAGTACGGTCTCCTGCGTATTCTACACTAGATACAGATCTATCTATATATCTATCTATCTATTAATAAATCCACATATATGTATGTATCTCTATAATCTTCACAAGTTTGTTTTTATTTTCCATATTTGGGTTTGTTGATTTCTATGTGTTTCTCTCTTTTCTTTTATTTTTCATTTTGTTTTACTTCACAGAGAAGATACATGCTTTAAAGGTAAACGGAAAAGAAAGAGCTGGGCCTTTTTTTTTTCTTTAAAGGCCTATCTATTCGCTTGGGTTTTTAAAGCTGGTGTTGAGTCATTTTTCACTCACATCTCACTTTGTTAGCATTTTGGATTTGTTATTTATTGTTATTATTTCTTACCGTACACGATAGCCCCATCTATTTTTATTTATTTATTCTTCTTTTCTCTCCCTTTTCTTTCTTCTCATTTCTACGTAAGTGTGTGTGTGGTACACGCAATTTCTCAGGATATAAGGAAACCTAAAAAAAGTGGAAATCATTACTCATTTCTAAAATTATACTTCTGATCCACATACTCCAAACAACACAGTATAAGTGCCAAATTAGCATATTACAGTTCCAATCAAATATATTTCTCAGTGGTTTTCATTGACTAAAGCACCCTGCACATATTCAGAGGTCTGGAAAAAATGCGTACCAGTGTTTGCTCAGTGATGCACCGCTTTGGCCCATCATTTCAAACCGGTGGGTCATTGATCAAAAGCCTCACGTCTTCCTGTAGACACTTTCGTTCATGTAGTAACAGTGGCGTCTTGATTGTGGCCTCCCTTTCAGCCGCCACGGCCGTACAAGGGGGCATCAGCAAAAACAGCACCCATCCAACACTCTTGGAGGCCCGTCGGCACCTCTTTGAAAACCGAAAGAAATTCCCCGGTGTCGACCACCAACCAAAGAAAGAACAGTGGCAGGAGCGGGCACCTCACAGCGATGATGCCGCGGTTGCCGCACGGAATTCCACGTTGTTCACTCACGTCGCTGGTGGTGATGGGCGTGGGATGCGTGCTGCGCCGACGCCTGAGGCTCTCCCAAGTGCGGCGGAGCTCGATCGCGTGCTACCATCCCTGCAGCAACTGCGGGATGAGATTCCATCCGCAACGGAGGCGCAACGAGCCATGGAGAGTGATAGTGGTAATAATTCCATATGGGGGTCCAATATTGCCGAAAAGGATGACGATGAGGATGAATAATGGTTTTTTTTTTTTGATTCCCCTTTCTCTTGTAGATCTTTATGGTAGTGATGAGATTGGATTATAGTCATTTTTTCCTACCCCTTGCTGATCTTTATTCTTTTATTTTGGCTTATTTTTTGCTCCATTGGTTTCATCGTGCTCTACGTTCCTGAAATGACTGTGGAATAGGGGGCCTGAAGTCGTATCGCTGCAGTGACAGTGACTGTTTTTCGCTTTTGCTTTCTCTTTTTTTATTTTACCCTTCTCGATTTGGTGACTGCGCATCTGTGGCACCTTTCCTCTCTCCCATACTCCATGTATACGTATTCTTTCGACTATTCTCGCACGCGTGTCTATACGTGGGTATATATGGTATGTGCATGTATGCTTCTCTATGCCTTATTTTCAATGTTTCCACTTTATCTTCTCTCTGTTACCTACATATTCACACCAAGGTATTCGCTATAAACGACAATACATTCGTGTATTTTAATTATTATCATTACTATTCTTTTTTATTAGGATTTAATTTATTTTCCACAAAACATTTTTCATTACATTCAGAAAATGTTGAAGAACAAGTCATGGGAGCGTATTCTCGTCTGCTGTGATTCCTTCAAGGGAACACTCAGCGCGTGTGATGCGGGTCGTGTGATTGAAGGGGCCTTCCGACGTGCGGAGGGCAAAACCACAACCCCTGTGGAGGTGATGCACTGTCCCATGTCTGACGGCGGTGATGGGCTGCTGGACAGCATGCTGTTTCCATCGCACTCTGGGCAATCATCGCCTTATCACTTCAAGCGTGTGGACGTGCCGATTGTGTCGGGAGAATCCGGAGAGGGAAAGTCGTCGGTGCCGGTTTTTCTTGGCCCACTCGGTGAGCCTCTGAACACGCCAAAGAGCAAGAGTGCCCATCGGCCCTACTTTGCCGCGGATGTGGAAAAGCGTGTGGTGGTAATTGAAATGGCCCTTGCTTCTGGACTGCCTATGCTCACGGATGCAGAACGGAATCCCCTGCGCACCACGAGCTACGGTGTTGGTCAGCTGATCAAGTACGCTATTGAGTACGTGGCTAATGAGAACCGCCGCAAGTATGGTGCGTCTGCTGACGGAGGTGTGACTGTGTTCCTTGGCATTGGTGGAAGTGCCACGAATGATGGTGGTATTGGCGCGCTGCAGGCACTTGGTATGGAGCTTTTTGTGAAGCCTGCAAACGGCAGCACAAAGTGCGGGAAGTGCTGTGCCAATGCTGGTATGGGCAATGGACAGCTGCTCACAACGCCATTCACTGGTGGAGATCTGCCACGCCTCACAGGGGCACGACTATCGCCAGCGTGCCGCCAAATGTTCTTCCGTAGCCCGAGTGAGGGCCCCACGGCGGCGGCGTACTGCAAGGAGGTTCGTCTGATCTGTGATGTGGCGAGTCCACTGATTGGGCCCGACGGTGCGACGTCCGTGTTTGGCCCGCAGAAGTGCAACCCTGCGTGGGACAAGGCCCACCGCGCTAGTGTGCTCGCGCAGCTGGAGGGTGGGATGAAGAACGCCGCCGCTTGTTTTGTGCGGAGTGGACTGCACGACTGCTTGACGCGTGCGAATGGCGTGGAGTCGGCGTGTGTGAGTCCACAGGAGCGCGAGAAGACTCTTGCGGCTCTGTGCCACACCGCCGGCGGAGGCGGGGCTGGTGGGATGAGTGGTTTCTTCCGTTATGTGCTGCGGGCGACGTGGATGGCCGGCACTGATGTTGTTGCGGAGCTGCTTGGACTGCCGGAGAAACTCCGCCACTGCGACTGCATGATCACGGGCGAGGGCTCCTTCGACACACAGACCATCCGCTTCAACAAGACACTCGGCCGGCTGCTGCAGCTCGCCGTGATGGAGAACATGCGCCGCCGCCGTGAGGCTGCCGCCGCGGGTGGCAACGGGACGAAAGTGAAGATGCTGCGGGATGTGGTGGTGGTGTGCGGCCGAATGTCGTACTCGGGCGGTGAGGAGGTGCGGCGGTTGCTGCTCACGCACATGCAGACAACGGGTGGTCCGGCTGAGCGGGAGGTGTGCGCTGAGGCCATTCCCCGTGTGCATCTCCTCTCCCTCACACCACGACACTTCCCGGTGAAGGAGGCTTTGGGAAATGCTGGTGTGTGTGTGGGGAAGTTGATGCTGCAGTTCCTTGTGGACCCAGACTTTGAAAAGAAGGAGAAGAGTGGTGCTGCTTCCGCGGTGGAGAGAAAGATGCGCGCCAAGATGTAGGGGAGGAATAGGAGTGTTGATAATAATATGATGGTAATGAAAATGAGAATGATGGTGGTGGTGGTGGTGGTGGGATCTTCTATTTAATCGTGGTCTTGCCATAACACCGTCTTTTTTTAAAACCAACAAAAAAATTAATTCAAAATGGAACAGAATAATGGTGGTAGAGTAGGTATAAATACGTATTTTTTGTGGATTCATTTATTAATTATTTTTAATATTATAAGAATACCTTCTCACTCTACCACTGCTTCCTGTTGCTACCATTGGGGCTTGTGTTCCCCAGGTGAACGCCACCAGAATAGGTTCATGGTAGTAGCAGTTGGAACGTTAAGGATCTCACAAAAGACGTAGATACATTTATTCTTTAAAATGTTTTCGTTATTTCAATACTTTTCTCAACCTTGGTGTTGTTGCTTCCATCTCTTTCAATAGGTGTGTTTTCTCTTCCCTGGTGTGTGTGTGTGTTTGTGTCTTTTCTGGCGTATATCTTTCTTTCTTTCTTGTTCTTTTTTACTTTTACGTTAATCTTATTGTTGTTATTACTTCTTTAAGCAGCTGTCCCAAGATGGTTAAAAGCTCCACACGTCTGCAGCGCAAGCTTGCAAAGAAGGCCCCCTTTATAAACCAAGAAGGCCAAGAACATGAAGGAATGGATTCTAAGCATGACAGTGTAAATACAATGGCACATGATAGTTCTACAGGAACAACAACATCAGCAGTAACAGGCAGTAAGGCACAACGGGATAAACAGGGTCAACGATCACTGCAGCGAAAAGCCAAGAAGGAACCAGTACAGCATCAACCGCAGCAACAACAAAAGAAAAAGGTAAAAAGAAGAGACAATACAATCTCTACTGCTACTGGATCGGCTACCCCTACTGCCATTAGTAGGAGTGATCAGACAAGGAAAACAAAGAAAATGAGTAATCAAATAAGTGATCAACATCGACGTGTGGCGGAGAAACTTGTGGCTCGTGAACAGCAACAACACGCACGATTAACAGCAGCAGAGGCAAGAATGGAAGCCGCGAAAGCTGAATTAGCGCTGTTTGATCAAGTAACACAAATCCCATCATTTGTGGAAAATCCGTTTCTAGCGATTGAGGGACACTTGAACGATACCATGACGTGCTTGCAGCCACAGACACCAGATGTTGGACGCGCCAAGCGAGAGGAATAGACGAAAAAAAAAAAAGAAGGGGAACAAAAAGAGAAGTAAAGAGAGGATTATGAGGAGTTCGTATAAACCATATATAAGTGCGGTGTTTTTTTTTTTTTTTTGGTTTACCTGTTCTTATTATTATGGTTATTCTTTTCGTCGTCTTCACGTTTCGCCACATTATCTTTGTATCTGTTTATTTATCTATACATATTTGGATGACCCGTTATTATTGACTGTATGTGTGTGTGTGTTTGTTGTTTGTATAATGCGATGAGTCGAGTAAGAACTTTTCTGGGAAATAAAGCACATCATCATTCCCAAGAAGAATATATATATATTTTTAAAGTATATATATATATACTCCAAACGATATGGGTAATTCTTTTTTTTTTCTGTTTTTCTTTGTTCCCTATTCTTGATATTTATAATAAATTCTATTTCTCTTCTTATCTTTCTTTTTCTTTTCTTTGTTTTCATTCTTTCTCTTGCTATTTAATGGTATGGCCGTATAGTGCGAGATACTGCACACATTTGTACGATTACTCATTAAGAGAATGAGTCAGGCGCCTACGCCACTGCGTACGCAACAGCAACAGCAACAGCAACAACAACAACAACGGGTTAGTACAGCAGACTTTCCCCATACATCAATGATGGCGGTTGGAGGTGAAGTACCTCTTGAAGAGGAGAATACCAATACTAATACTACTACTACTACTACTACTACCACTAATAATAATAATAATAATAATAATAATAATAATAATAATAATAATAACAGTGAGTTCTGTACTTCACAAGAGGCACTAGCAGCTGTTAGATGTGCTGTACACGCTGCGGATTTATTAGCATCTATTTTGTCCACCAACACTTCTCCCTCTCTTCCAGGTGCTGCTGCTGCTGATGTTGGTAGTAGTGGTGTTGTTGAGAGTACCGATGAACCCAATGGTAACAGTGAACCCAATAGTAATAATAATAATAATAATAATAATAATAATAATAATAATAATAATAATAATTACTATGGAGGGAGTATGAGTAGTAGTATCAACAAGAATGAAGAAGATGATAATGGTGGAATGAATGCGGCGTATTTGCAAATTATTCTCGCAGCAGTTGTTTCAGTAGCGGAATCTCAACGTATTGATTTGGAACGTGCCGTCCGTCGTCGTATTCGATCTTTCGCTTTTGAACAGTTAACGCGAAGAGACACACTTTCCTCTTCTCCATCTTCTTCTGTAAGTTCGAATGCCGCTGCTAACGTCACTGCCCCTACTGAGAGGAATGATACTGGTATAGATAATAAGGCACATGAACAGAAGAATCTCCAAAAAGAAGAAAAAGAAAAAGAAAGAAGAGAAGAAGAAAAACAACAAAGTAGTAGTTCTGCTTTTTGTTCTGGAATGGAGTTACCTGTACAAGTAGAAATCGTTCATCCTGTAACCACCTTTGCGAATGTGGATATTATGGATACGGTGAAATCTCATGGTAATGATGTTGAGGCTTCAGTAGATAGAGATATTGGAGTCACTAAACCCTCTTTAGCTAACAACAACGATGATGATCATAAAAGTAGTCCTACTTTTGGTTCCAATAATAATAATAATAATAATAATAATAATAATAATAATAATAATAATAATAATAATAATATTGAAACATGTGTATGTGAGAGTCATATGGAAGGGACGACAACACTAGAGACGTTAGTGCCTACTATATCCAGTGGCAAATCTCCCAATTTCTCATGTACTTCTTCCTCTTCTTCTGCAGCTGCTGGAGTAAAGATATACCGCCCAGCATTATTGTTAACAGTACCCACGGATGATGAGACGATTGGTCTTCTTGCCCCACCCGCCTCTGTGGCTGGAATGACACCAAAGAAGATGGATAGAGAAGAGAAGACGTTAACTAACGTAGATACAGCTGTGGAAAAAACAGAAAAAGAAGAAAAAGAAGATGAAGAGAAGGAGAAAAAAGAAGAAGAAAAGATAGTTACAAGAGATGTAATGGGATATGTGTCTAACACAAGAACGATTATAGAAATGGAAGATACAGATACAAGAGGAACAAATATAGAAAAGAGAGAGAATGTAATGATATGTGGATTGGAATCAATATCCTTACGAGGAATATCTTCTGATGTATTAGACCCGAATTTAATTTCTGGAAAGGAATTATTAGTATCTGATCATCAAACCGTTACTTCAGATAATAGTGCCTCTTTAACAACAGTGGCAGTTCAAGTTACAAATACAAATACCACAACTACAACAGGAACAACAGGAACAGCATTCTGTCATTCACAAATGTCTGAGTTATCTCATCCGAAAGAAAAGGAAGAGGAAAAGAGAGATACTTTTCATCATCTATCATCATCATCATCATCTCAAGAAGCTAATAAATCTAATATGGCTTCTGCTATTTCCATGGTTCCAGTATTACCAGAAATGGGATCTATCCCTTTTCCTCTTCCTCATCCACCACCACCACCACCACCTTCTTCTTCTTCTACTACAGTTCCTATTTCTCCACCTATGGGTATTCATACCGTTAGTTCTACTGATAATCCGGCTACTGTAGATGATCCTAATGATCACACAGCAGGAGGAATAATGGAATCTATTTCTCATAGACGTCGAATAGAGGAAGTATCATCCACATCTTTGGCTCTTATCGCTGGTGTGAGTAGTGTAGACTCAGATGATGTGAATGATGAAAATGATAATGATTCCATGGCTCATGAGATGCAAGAAGAGGGAGAAACACCTTTAGCCTCTCTAGTGGATAAATGTTGTTTTGCTATTTCCTCTCCTTCTCTCTCTATTCAGCAATCTACTTGTACCTCCACTCCACTCTTGTTTACTCAACATGAACAATATCAACACCAACCATTACCGTTACCACGACAAATGGAAAAACAACAACAAAAACAACAACGAAAACAACAACAACAAGAAGAATTACAACAAGAAGAAGAAGAATTACAAGAAGGACGGGATTCATCCGATCCATCTTCACGTTCTGCAGTAAATTTCAATATATCACCATTTCTACCAAATGAAGAGTCTTCACTCTCTCTACGTGCTGGAGAGGAACATGTACAATTGATGAGTACTCCACAATTACTATCGGAATTGGCAACATCATCACCCTATCAAAAGGGAAAACAGAGTTGTAGTGAGGAACATCATTCAACAACAAAAACAACAACAGGAGCGGCAACCGTAACTGCACAAGTCCCAACAACAACAACAACAAAAACCGTAAAGGTGGGAGCAAAAAGTGGGATAAAAGTATTTTCTACACCTCTACGGGATGAATTCACTAATACTGAACACAATGAAATGATGTTTACCACAAGTAGTTGTAGTAGTAGTAGTATTGCTACTACTGATAGTAATACCATGCATGGTAGAGAAAAGTATAGAAGGAGCACTAGTCAACCTCTTGAAATATCTCCTCCTCGCAGAGGATTATCACCCAATATGAGTAGTAGTGCTGCTGGTAGTAATAATAATAGTAGTAATAATGATAATAATAGTAATAGTAGTAGAGGTACATCTACGCATATTACAGCAGTGCCGCCCTATGGCTTATTGCTTTTACAGCAAGTATTGAGTGAACGACAGAGAGAGGAATACGAGTAAAAAAAAGAAAAAAAATGAGTGAATGATTGTGAGTAATGGTAATATATATATATGGATGTGGGGAGTTTCTTTCTCTGGTATGAATTGGAATGGAAAAAAGAAAAGACGAAAAAAAACAATGTGTGTTGAGAACCGAAAAAAAAAAAGTGGGGGAGATGGATTTATTTAGATATCGAAATTAATCATCCTATTAACATGTACCCTTATATGAAAATATTCGAAATGGAAATGTGTAGATGAAGAAAGGGAGAGGTGGACTATGTACGAGTATGTTTTTTTTTCTTTCTTTTGTTGCTTTTTTTTTTTTTACTCTAATTGATTTTTGATCCCTTTTATCTCTCTCTCTCTCTCTATATATATATATATATATGGATATAGATATGAATATGATTGTTAGTTTATTTATAAGCATCCTAATATACTGTTTTTTTTTTTTCATTTTCTTTCTTGTTTATCACTTTAGGACTAGTATCAAAGCCGAAAAAAAAAAAAAATCATAAAAGAAGTCTATTTTCATCACATTCAAAAAGAAAAAAAAAAAGTAGAGGGTGATTTTTTTTTTCTTTTTAGTTTGGGAATAAAAGAATGGAGAATCAACTCGAGGCGAGTGAAATAGAAGAGAAGAATATATTACATTCCCCTCAAACCCCACAAACCCCAATGATGATAAATACAACAACAATAACAACTATATCCACATCCAAAACACCAACCAATGACAAGTGTAATAAAGATGAGAAGAAGAAAATAAAAAAGAAAAAGAACGTACAGTTTTCTAGTTCCCATTCCCCTAATAATAATAATATTAATAATAATAATAATAATAATAATAATAATAATAATAATAATA